AAGTTATGTAGTATTTCGATGTCAAAAAATGTTCCTTATTTTGTGGCATGAAGCATAGTATTAAAGATATTCATATAAAATATGAAAACGAAAAATTAAGCAACTGCAATCATGCGAACATCCACATAAATTCAAAAAGTAGAGTTAATCGATTTGATCAGTGAACGCCTCATCCTTCGATGAAGTTCGCTATAGGTTACGCCTACATGTAAAGATGTACTTACATACAATACGCATACAGTCTGATTCACCCTAACAAAAGCCTCGATTCTGTTAATATCGTATAGATTCGTAGGTTTATTTATAATGTTGTACAAGCTTTTGTTTCTCCTTCCAGTGAACACATTTTATAATAAATAACTGGGATTTTAACTGACTACTTAAAATAATAATAAGTAACAGCTATAATTAGAAGTTTTTATATTATGCCCGTAATCGTTATACGTCGTCTTTTTCTGTCGACGCGATGCGACGTGACGTCTCAAATCGATCTGTTGATTTCCTACTCGTCAAGAAGTACCGTGTCGACCGGAAACGACAATCTCGATTCGGAAGTCGAGTCACTTCTCTTAATCGAATAGTTGCAATTTAAACCTTTACGATGTCTCCAGAACATCACTAGGATAGGCAACTTCGTTGCTGTCATATTTTCATAACTTCGTGGCTATATATATTTATGGTTAGCCTCCTTTCACAGCTACACCGCCAAATTAACTTGAAAATAGTTACAGATATGACTAATATTTCAACGAAAATTCAGTTATTTTTGTCACACCATATATGTACATAGTTTTCTTAACAGTAAGAAGAAACTTTTCCATTTCGTATGCGGCCGCTTGCGATATTAATGTTAGAGCTAGTACGGTTTATACAAGGGTACAAGATATAAGAGTGCATAAATTGATTGTGGTTTCTTAACTGGCTATTCTCGTGTGACGTTTTCCAAAAAATGAATTTTGATTTTACTTATCACAATTAGATGTATCCAAGAATGGATTATTAAATTTCGACGCTATCATTCCGATTACATATTTCAAAGTTCAGTAAATTCTCGC